TGTGCCGGTGCTTGCCCCATGGCCCGGCCCGGTGTGTGCCGGTACCTGCCCCATGGCCCGGCCCGGTGCCGGTGCTTGCCCCATGGCCCGGCCCGGTGCCGGTGCTTGCCCCATGGTGCCGGGCACGGCGCGCCCTGGGCCGGCTCCTGCGCCCAGCGCACCGCACGGGCAGCGCCGCAATCCTACCGCCCTTCCAAAACAAGCACTAAATGCTGTTTAGCTCCTTCCAACATAAGCAGATAACTGCTGTTTAGCTCCTAAAATGCTGGTGGCTAAAAAGTAATGAGAAAAACTATCTGCGTGCTCTGAGAACTGTCTGCGTGCTTAGCGAACACGCTTTTCCTCGGAGTCGCATGAATACATTATTTCCCTTGGGACTGCACACCACTGTTTGCAATTCCATTGCCCCTAGAAACCTGAATGCATTGGGACTATCCCATCTCAAGGACAGATGATAGGAGGGAGATTTTCCAGTCCTTGGAATGTAGAAAGCAGATGTGAAGGTATTTCTGTGAGCTGCTGGAGTGCCGTTCACCTTCTGTAGAAAATCAGTGGTAAGGCCATTTCTTCCACGGTCTCCAAAGAGAACCCCTAAAGTGATGTGCTGGAAGCACCAGTGCTAGCAAAGCTCTTTCCCTTTCATGCTATTTCATTGCCTTTTCACTTTTATTGAAATTGAATTGCACTGAGAATAAGGAGTCTGTACACATGGATGAGCTAACATTTTCTGAGCAGTATTTTAGGGTCCCTCGTTTCTTTGAAATTGCTTGGTGCTTTTTGGGTGCAAGAGTGAGCAGCAAAGTGGGTAAATCACTGGCAGCTGACTCATGCACAGCCCAGCTGTACAGACTGCTTCAGCAGAAGCCCTGCCAGGGCAGAGTGGAGGCTGGACTGAGGGAGGATCCTGCCTTCAGTGGATGTTTCAAATATGTTTTATGCATTTCCAGCTTAAGAAAGCATGAAAAAGGCTTGACTTGGCAAGACAGACAATTTTAGTTGGAGTGGAGCCCAAAGTCCAGGTGATTCTTGTGATCCCATTTATTTTTTGGGATGTGCCATAGCTGAGATGCTCTCCCTGTCTGGCTGTGGGTGGCAGCTCCTCTGTGAAGGCAGGCCAGCCCCTCTTGGTGTCTGGGGATGGGGGGCAATAGGCCAGAGCTCTGGCCTGTCCCAGCTCTTGCCCATTTCCACACCCGGATTTCTGTGGTTGGTGAACCACACACAAAAGCCAGAGCCAGTCACTGTCACAAATAGAGTCCAGTGAGAAAGCAACAGCAAAACCAGATAACTGTTGCTGTGTGAAATAGGAATGTCTTTGCACTGTTCTCCTGGGTTGCTGTGTGCTTTGCCAACCAGCCTTCTCTTCAGCTAACTTTCCTAAAATGTGGTTTTCTTCATGAAAATATTCCAATATTTCCACTGCCTTTAGCCAGCAGGGTTTTCTTTGGTGAAGGTAGTAAGGGAAAGCTAGCAAGCATTAGCCAAACCCTCATCTGACTTCTTACTAGACCATAAAGTGACTCCATATAGTCACTGATTTTACTTTTGGTATGGCTCCAGCTAAGCCTGTGATGGCTCTGCTGGTTTTTGCACCAGAGCCTGTGAAAAGGCACAGCCTCAGTGAAGAAAATTCACCAACCTGACAAAAGAAAGAGGGCAGGGGCTGTAGTTTACAGCTCCTGCAGTGCAGACAGGGCCATGGGTGGCATGAGGGGGAATAGCTGCAGCACTGTTTCTTTTTGAAAAAGGTAGAGATTAGGTGGTTTAAACCAGGTGAAGACAAATAAATGTGAGAAAGTGGAAGAGCAGAATACAGCTATCTGTGAGGATCTGGGATGAAGACTGGAGGAAGCAGTCAGCCACCAGATGGGGAAGAGCACACAAAAGCCATGGCCAAGCCCTTCAGGCTCCTGCTCAGCATTTCAGTGCTGGCTGACACCGCTGCTCCTCTCACATCCCAGCACCCAGGCTGCTGGGGGAGGGAGCCCTGGCCTTCACAAACATACTCTCCAAGGTGGGCAATCCCAAGTCTCATAAAGCATGAAGGTGATGTGTGTTGACATGGAGTTTGGGACAGCAACTTCTGATCTTTCCTAATACTGTGATGTTAGGAAGGATGTTAGTGTGCCCTCCTCCCACATGTGCCTTCCCACTGTGACAAACAGGGTTCCTGAGTTCAGCTCTATTCCATGGTTCAGCTTCCCACATCAGTGTCACCACCATCCATTTGTGTGCATACTGGAGTCTGAATTGTGGGGCTTGATTATCATGATGTGGTTGTGTACCAGAGAAGCAGTGACAGAAGAAAAGTGGCATTAACCTCTGCTCTCTATGAAATATAAAATTTTCTTTAAAAATAAAAAAATAAGAAGGAAAAATAATACTGAAAATGTATTAGCACAGTTACACAACTAATGGTGGGTTAGGAGAAAGTAACTATTAACATGTGACTTTGTTTTTTGTTTCTGTATTGAAATCTTTTGACTCTTCTGAGGTTTTCTAACAGATATTAATTCTTGGACTAAGTCAATTTTTAATTCTTGGATTTATGTATCTTTTCATTAAGAAAAGGCCTACTATTTTACAGCAAATTCTGCTGGCACTGCTTATCTTTGAAAATTCATTATGTTTTTTTCTTCTGTGGGAACATTTTCTCAGAGATGCAGAAATAGCCCATTGTGGCACAGCAGGGGGTTTGTGTTTTGTTGTTATTCATTTGTGTTTGACTTGGTCAGCCTTGGAGTTAAGGGCTGGAAGCAGCAAGATCTGTTCTGTCTTCCAGTACAATGGCATGTGCTTACAAGGCCCCAGTGGCGTTCCTGGACGGGATGGAAACCCAGGAGCCAACGGGATCCCTGGGACACCTGGGATCCCAGGACGGGATGGGCTGAAAGGGGAGAAGGGCGAGTGCATGCGTGAGAGCATCGAGGAGTCCTGGACACCCAACTTCAAGCAGTGTTCGTGGAGCGCGCTTAATTACGGCATCGACCTTGGGAAGATCGCGGTAAGTCAGCTCTGCCCAGAGGGGCTGCAGCAACCACAGCAGGCCCCAGGTCTGCCTCTGTGAGCAGCACCAACCTCACAGATTTCCTGCTGGGACCTTTTTCTGCATGCAAGGGTGAACTTCTCAAAGGCTTACCTACCTTGGATTCTCTCAGCTGTGTTTCAGCTGTGTGCCTGTTTCATTTCTGGAATAGGGTTTTGGAAGAATTTTGTAACTGGTGTAAGACTACATTTAGTAGACCAGATCTGTAACTGTAAGGCTGAAAGTCACAGTACCAAAAAAGTACCTCTAGCTTGCCCAAAACAGGACAAGGATTTTACCATTTCAGCCCTAAGGAGGGATGCACATCTTTGATCTATTAATTGTACCTGTCCTTCTAGCGCTTGCTTCCAAGTGGCTGCTCACTGAACTCAGTTGCAGGGTGCTACTGCAAAGGATCAGCATTGCTCAGGGGCAGAATTGCCAGTGTCACCCAGACTGACACAGTCTGTCTTCCACTGCAGCCCTGGGTGTAAGACTTTTAGAAGAAACCCTGCTCAATCTCAGCTATGAAAAGCCCAGAGTGATTATAGCAGTTTAACTGCTGTGCTGTGGCTAGAGGGAGAAACAACTTTTTCAGTAGACTTTTCCTACTGCCTGGTACTTGCAGAACTACCCCCAGCTTTTTTAAATTTTTTTTTATTTCTTTCTTTATTTTTTTTATTTTCAATCTCCATGATATCCAGCATTTTTAAGACAGGTTAACTACCACTTAAAAACCTGAAAGTATTTATTTTTCATTTGTGGAGCTTTTATTAGGTATAAATTGCTCAGAAATCTTGTAATAATTGTTAAGTCCTGGATTTCTGTTAGCAGAGACAGAAACTGTGCTGTCTTGTCATGGAAGGACTTGGGGGTTGGACTAGATGATCTTCAGAGGTCCCTTCCAATCCTTATGATCGTGTGATTCTGTGGCTTGAGTGCAGCTGTCAGAGAGCTTATATCCCTTTACATAAATCCCAGAAGGTAACTAGGCTACCAATTTAACAGTAGGTGTTATCTAAATAAAGTCCAAAATTTCCATAATCTGTTTCTACTTTGCCATCTATGAGATGCTGTTTTGATTTGCATCTTTGCACCACAAGGGTATTTTCCAGGCTCTAATTATTTTTCTTTTTTATTCCCCAGAGGGGACTAAAGAGAATAGCCAAAACATTTTGAAATAAATACATTCCTAAAACTGTGTCCTAAATATAAACATACAGAAAGCAGATGGGCTCCCACCCAGAGGTTTGTACCAAAGCACCTTTGTCTCCTGCGAACAGGAATGCACGTTCACCAAGATGCGCTCCAACAGCGCTCTCCGCGTGCTCTTCAGCGGCTCCCTTCGCCTCAAGTGCAGGAACGCCTGCTGCCAGCGCTGGTACTTCACCTTCAATGGGGCAGAGTGTGCTGGGCCACTGCCTATTGAAGCCATCATATACTTGGATCAAGGAAGCCCAGAGTTGAATTCTACTATTAACATACACAGAACTTCCTCAGGTATGTATGCAGGGAGAGCAGAGATGGAGAAGGCAGCAGCAGTCACCAGAGTGACATCTGTCCCATGAGGTCAGAGGACTGAAACCAGACAAAGAGTGGCCAGCTAACATTTGTTCCTCTTACTCTCTGCCTCAGAGCTGACTATAGATCTTAACAGGATATTTATTAAGTGGTACTTTCTTGCTGTGGTATTTTTTGCGGTACTTATATCCTGAGATTTAGAAATGGAAAACATTTCTATCCAGACAGGTCTACTGATCTCTGCCACAACATGAATACAGAGACACTCTGTGCTGTACTAGCCTATGGAGAAAGAGTCTTGCTGCCACGTAGACTGTGTCATCCTGGCTTAAAATAACTGATATTGGCACAATATCTGTGCAGAGAATGAGACATTCCTCCTGTAACTTTTACTCTAATTTCAGGTGGGGCACAAAGTACCTCCAAAGTGAAATATCTGGGAGCAATTTTTCATTTGCTTAGCAGAGGCAGATTAGTGAATTAATTCAACATAGAAGGATGTGACACTTAGAAAAGGGAATGTAAAGTCTGTGTCCTTTCTCCATATTCCTCCCTGTACTGCATGACTACATGAAATCGAATGTCTAGAGCTATGCCAGGATTTTTTCAACATAGGGGTAGAGCTGACTGGTCTTCATTACCCCACCTCCAACTAGTGGTGCTAGTTGGGCATCAGGAGTGGAACTTTATACAGAAGCAGTGACTTCAGGAGTGGAAAAGCTTACAGGGTGGCAATCACCTTTACAGGGCTTAGCCGTAAACCAGGCATGGCTGTGCCCCCACCCCCTCCCAGCACTGCTAGAAAGATGTCTGGAAGGGTATGAAGCCATATTCCAGCTCTCAGAGAGTAAATCTGGGTATTTAAAGCAGAAGGTATACCTCCCATTTAGCCATCCTGTGGACTGTGATCTGCTTCAGTTACTGCAATGAGTGTCAAACAGCAGCGTGGACACAGGCACTGCATGGCTGAAACTGATGTTGCTACATCTCCACATAATAGTTTTTATTTCTGAAATTGTTCTGAGACTCCAAAAACTGCTCACATTTGACTAAATAGCACAAGCTTGCAACAAACTGCTGTTCTTAAGTATTTGTGTCTACCTTCAGTTGTGAAACACAAAGGGATTGTGTCCGCTGAGATAACTTGATTTTTGTCTTTAACCAGTGGAAGGTCTGTGTGAAGGGATCAATGCTGGCTTGGTGGATATTGCCATCTGGGTTGGGACGTGCTCAGATTATCCACGGGGAGATGCTTCTACTGGATGGAATTCAGTCTCCCGAATCATCATTGAAGAACTGCCAAAATAACTTTCTTGCCTTTTATATAATACCCTTTTTATTTTTTTTTTTAGATTTTGTACTATTTTTTTCCCAGAGTTTATTTCAGTAGAGCTGGATGCAAGTACTGGACTGAAAGGCACCAAAGCCTTGCATCTGTAACCTTTGTCTTGTTTTGCACATAGCAGAGGCTTTTTATAATAATCATTTTAGACTACAAATATCAAAACCAAGTTCACTAACGTTTTAAATTTCTTCTTTGATATAATACCACCACTGTTTTTAGAATTAACCATAACTTTTTGTATCAAATAAATAAGACCTTTTACAAAAAAAAAAAATCCATGTTATTTTATTGAACATTAATCTGTTTAAGGTATTTTACATGGCATTATGATACATGATTCTTTTAGATGGCTTTATGAAGTTCTAAGAAAGTAAAATCAGGTGTTAGCTTTAGCCTTCAGAAAACAGACATAAAATTCACACCTGTAAACCTGACTGCAGAATAGGATACTCCACTGTTACAGCCTTGTTTTTCAACAAACTCCTGGCGACTTAACTGTGATCTGGACAATGTGGTAAGTGTTAAATACCTCATGATGAATAACTGAGCAAAACCAGACTATCTAAGCTCTCCTTTCCTCTCTTCCTTCTTGATAGACTGGATTTCAGTGTAACATCTATCACTGGTCTCCACCACTAAGATGGAGACACTAAATAATTTTACAGTTACACTTGATTTCATTGCTCCAAAAATTCTCCTGGATTTAGCCTTTCAGCTGTATAGAATCACTTTGGTGTTGGTTTAAAGCTAGATATATTGAACAGTTTAGAAGAAATAAGGCAAGCTGAAATGCCTAGGCTTTCAAAAAGAGAACTGGTAAAGTGAAACAATGATGCTACAGCTGTTTGACAAGTTACAACACCGATCATGCCAACAAACCACAAGCTTCAGTGTTTCTAAGTATTTTCTTCCAAAGGCTGCAAGTGACATACTCAAATATTTTTAAAAATTGTACACATTCTAAAGAGAAACAACAGTCATGTTTGTTTTACAAAATCAATTTTACATTAAAGAAATAAAAAAAAACCCCATGAAAAGCATGTACAACATGCAAAAATCTCCACTCTCCTGAGAAATTAGAAGGAAAAAACCCCTTAAATCTGAGATAATGAATTTGTTTCAGCTATTTAAGATTAAACCTCATCTTTTCTGAACAGGCTGTAAGATTTCCCCCAGGCATCTCTCAGATGGGTAGCTCTTGCCTGTAGCTGTTGTTGCAGGTACCAGGGGAGGATATCTGCAGTGAGGGGAGCACTTGGGCTTGCCCAGCTGCAAGATGGTGCACGAGATTTACTGCAAGCCAGCAAGTTACACAGCTGGTATTCTGTCTCTGAAGAACTGTAATGTTTTCACTGGCTTGGATATGGTTTTAAGGTATCTGAACACAAACAGGTTACTATGAGCTGAGCTGTGGTGTGAGCTTACAGAAGCTCAGTTAACTTACAGTGAGGGATTGTGCGCGCGCTCGCTGCCCGTCTTTGAATTTATCCTGAAGCACGAGTGAGCAGTCCTGGGCACACAGCACACTGAGCCAGGGCAGTACATGCAGAGCTTCTTCTCTTCTCATGTTTTCATAGTCTTCACAATGTATTTTGGACCCTGGGTGGTAGGGTTAACTCAGTGTTCCATTAAATTCATTCAGTGTACCATGAAACACACAAACCCTGGTAAGCACCCTCCAAAGGCAGAAGTTATGGATCTACATAATTTACATGGTAAACTTCCAGTAAATTTATCTTCAGCTAAATACACATGGAAGCTTGTGTAATAAAAACCAAAGCAGCCATACTGGCCCAGATGAGATTATTCCTTCTGATGAGATTATCAATCGTATCAGTAGAGGGGATGGGATTGTGGAAGAGAAAGTGTAAATTATTAATGAAGTTAGTAATACACGAAATGTGGTATGTGGCAATAGTATCTACAAAAACAAGCAAATGGATTACTGAACAAAGATTCAAAATACTGAGTAGTTTCTGTAGCTTCAGAGATTTTAACTTAAAATTTAAACCAAGTCCCTAATCTGTTAAATTTTTATTAAAAAATGTTCCTTCTCCTTTAGGTTAGACTGGTAAATAGGAAACTTCTCTAAGTGATGGTTCTGCTCCCTATGTAACTGATGATTTCCCTCTAACTGCCGGATATAGCCTTTGCTAACTTATTTCCTAGTTAAATGATACTTACTAGATACTTAATATCTTACCCCAAACCACCAAACCCAGAACTCTAAAAAGTACATATCCTTGATGGCAATTATTGGTGTGGAAAAAAACCATAATTATTATACAAATTTACTGAGATGTACTATAATTTAATTTATCAGTAAGTTAGCAATCAATATATTAACAATCTTTTCCTTAAACCAAATCAGAAGACATTAATAGATTGTTCTGGTTTTCTTGAAAAAAAGTCCCATGCACAGGATTTTTCTAGACTAGAAACCCTTTTTTCCAGCGAGTATTATTGAAAGTAAGCGTGGTCTTATTTGTTATTACACCACTTTGAACACTGCATCACTATGAGATTACAAGGAAAAGTATCCTCATTTATAAAATGCAAGCCCACTTTCAAATATGCATTTACTTAGTAATATTTGGTCAGATGTATCATTAATGTAGATAGACTGGCACAGAGAGAGATGGAGAGAGAATGAAAGAGAGAAAATGAATTAAGTAGCCAGCAATACATGCAGTTTTAGCACATAGGTCTGCTGCTAAAACCAAGTCAAAAACCACAGTGCAAGCCTGTCCTGGTATGAGACAAGAACTGAGTTTCATCAGACTTGCAATTATTCAAACCCAAGAATGGAGAGCTGTTTTAAAAAAACAATTTCAGTTTCCAAACTGCACCCCACTGAGGCAGCATTTTTGTGTTGGATGAACAGTGGAGTCTGGAGCATTCCGTATCCTAAAATCTGACGAATAACACAGAGGTGGATCCAATGACATTCCTTGTTTTAATGAGACTCAGAGATTTAAGGAAGTTTTGACAGGCCCAGGGTTGCTTTTGTATGAAGTTTTCCACTTGTGCAGGAGCAGAATCTCACCAACTGTTGTTGAGACTTGTTGAAACTGTTTAGTGGGTTATTCCAGGCAGGCCAGGATGAATGGAATTGCTGTTGCAGCTGCCTTCACACACTGACAGCACTATTATTTCACAGTTGTGGACATCTGCTTCAAGCAGACACAGATGATTCAGAGAGGAAGGCAGCAATGCAGGAACATTCAACAGGAGAGATGTTGGCAGGGTTTATTGCCTCCACATTCTTTCCTCAAAATACTGGATCAAGTCACAGTGTCAAAGAAAGACTGTTGAACTAAACTTCTCCCAGATCATAAATATAAAAAATAGAGATTCCTTCCTAGGAACACAAGTTCATACTTTTAATTATTTTCTTTTCTAAAACCAAGTAAAAAGCCAGACACATTTTCATAAACTACAAAGGTAATACAGCAGGCAGGAGTCACTCTGATCACATTAGGTATAATTCCTTTGTAAAATCCATGAACACCTTCTTTCCTTTAAAGAAAAAAATATGTGGCTTTAATGAATGTCTTTTAATAGAAAAAACGAGACATTAAGCAAAGCCTGGCATTTTATTTCTCACACTCCCCAAGATCTCTACTGAGAGATGTACTTCAGGTTAGAAAAAACAATTTCAGACAGTTTGAAGTGCATCAAGTATTAACCCATCATTTTTTCTTCTGAACATATAATAGGGTTATGTAGATCAATTATTTAGCCTAGGCTTTGAGTGTTTTTTTGTGGGTATTGTCTAAGCAGAAAGGCAATTTACTGTATTTCTTCATGCTACAAGAACTGTCTAAACAAATAAGAAAAGTCTGCATTCATTTTTTGAGAATTTAAGCACCCCCTCCAGAATTTTGATTCTACTGGCCTAAAAATGAGAATCTAATTTGACCCAATTTGAGTCAGTGTGTCATGCTAGGGGCTTTTCAAAAGTTTTAGAGACATTAAATGTCAGCTCTTTAGGTGCAGGTGTCACAGACCTAGGACACCTGGAATGATGAGTAAACAGAGATCCTGAGAAATGCTTGGGTGTGGTTTACACTACCCTCCCTAAGTCACATTTGTTTCATCATGAGCACAGTAGTGGCTCCAGAATGGCTGTACCACACTTTACCAGAACTAATAAGCCTTCCTGTAGCCTACAGCACTGAAGGGCACAGCACTGACACATCAGAGCAAGTTTTGCTCTGAATTGCCTCCAGTCTAAATGGGTTGTACAGCCTCTGAATCAGGGACAACACAGCCTCAGTCACTTATTGAGCTGGCACCTCTTCACAGGACTCCATTCCCAACTCTGCTGCAACCCAAAAGCACTGCCCAAAACTGTGCATGCACATGCAGAGGGGGCCACTCTTCCAAATTACACAGGTCTGTGTGAAAACTCTCCCCTGCACTGTGGAGCTCAGGGAAGAGCTCAGGGAAGGTTTGTGAGAAGACATGAATAGGTGTGAGGTCACAGGACTCTGAAGGTCCTACAAGAAGCCAGGACTAGACTACAAATGCAGTCAGGCCCCAGGGTAACCCAGGGACACCAGTATAATCAGCTCTGGCTAGCTCACTCCACCTTGCCAGGAATTTGGATTAGCCACAGCTCCCAGCAGCACAATGCTCCTGTCCCATGTGATAAGCTAAAGCAGTTCAAGTGAGACTTCATCAAGTGTCCCAAACCAGCCATGACAATGCTATTTTTTACCCTGTGAAATCTGCCGGAGAAGAGAGAAGGGAGACAGAATAAACAACAGAAACCTGCAGGGGGGCATTGACTCTCTGCTATCTCCTCCTTACCTTGCTGCTGTTGGTGGCATCTTGCACAGTATGATTTTGTACAACTAACAGTTTCTTTGCTCTGAACTGTACTGGTTCTGCAAGTCAGCACAGAAGCCAGTAAATGTAGCTCTGACTCTGTAAAATTCATTTTCCAACATGCATGCTTTAACTTTTGCACACCTACCTCCATGTCCTGCGGATCACATCGAACACACCAGAATATGTGTTATGCTGGTCTTGAAGACGAGCTCGCACAACTTGATAGGGATATGTTGCTGCCACAGCAAATATTTTGGATACAGCTGCCATCATTATATATTCCACAGTGTTCTAAAAGCAACAAAAATTGTCAGGCTTGCCTTAAGTATGGTTTAAATTGGCCAGTTCCCAAAATCTTGTTTGATTTTTAAATGCACAACCAAACAATACTCTAGATTTTTCCCCTCTAATAATACAACATGTTAAAAGAAATGTCAGTGTTTGCTACATGCAGTGCTACAAGTAATTGACTGTAAAACGTGCTCTGCCTTCCCATTCCCACCAAGAGAAACACTTCCAAAAGTAGCTACCTTAGCCCAACTTGCACCCGAAGAGTTTTCCAGGGTTCAATACCACCCCCTCTGGTTCCACAAAGTAAGAAAAAGCCCTCATTCCTTCCTCTAAAATTCTCAAAACACTTGCCAAAATAAGAAGTTGGTTTTTAAAAACAGTGAAAACCAGTTGCTTCTTACTAAAATGTGAGAAAGTATTATTTCTACAATTTCTATTTCAATATATTCTGCATTTGAATTAATGTACCAATACTTGGTACATTTGGTTGCTGTGTAACCCAACAAATGGAATCATCTTCCATTTATTTACACGCCACAACAGAATTTTATTCTCAAGCACCATACCAATTTTGTATCTGATACTCTGTTTCTGTACTTGTTATATCTCTCTTTCAAATCCTCATAGGCCATGAACTGAAGTGCTCCATGTGATGTTCCGAACAGACCAGGCACAAATCCCTAAAAAAAAGGATAAAACAAGGTTAAAGGGTAATGCACAAAACCTAAACACTAACTACTAAATAAATAAATGCTACTTTTCTGACATACAGCCTAAAGTCACCTAGAGTCACTGAGATAAAACAAGCGGCCCAGGGACTCCACCTCACAGAGCACAAGCTGCTAACACCGATTAGGATTGCAAGATCACAGTCAAGCTGTGGTCTTGCAGATGTGCTGCTCAGTGCCTGCCCCTTTCCAGAGACTGGCACTGAGGGGTCTGGCTCCCACCTGAGACTCGTAAAGCAATGACAGATGCTGGCAACTCAGAGAAAGGCCATCAGGAGCAGAGGCACAAAAAATTACTGTGATTGAGCCCAGGAAATAGATGTGTATGTGTTTGCATGTGTGTCTCTACATAAATGTATGTTTATGAGATAGATATATATTTCTATACTAAAAATGTTTGTGTCTGTACAGAATCATGGAATCATTTCGGTTGGAAAAGACCTTTAAGATTATCAAGTCCAACCATAAACCTGACACTGCCACGTCCACCACCACATCATGTCCCTGTGGGAGAAGAGAGTGAGCTACTCCAGCCCTGTTTTACTTACACACACAAACACATGAAAATACACATCAACCTTTAGCTTCAAAAAAGTTGAAAGGAAGGGGGAAAACAGGTACTTTCTGAATTGTCTCCACAAGAAAGAGAAGGCAAGAGTTCCCCCAGGAGCAGGACTAGCTCCTTTAAAATGAGCTGCATGAGTTCTGAAAAGCACTAGTTCTCTTTCTGAAGAGTTGGTCACTTACATTGAAAAACACAAATAAATGGGGGATTAATAATTTTGGCCAGAAAGGGACTCAAAATCTTGCTGCAAACCATTGAGGGACAATTATAATGGAGTAAGTAATCAAAGTGTGGCTAAAAGCACTCAAAGAAACAAAGTTTGAAACAAAAGAAATTGAACAGAACAGTTTTACTTCCTATGATCCATTCAGACAAGAAAAAGGCATTTCAAAATGTGCCCAGATGTCACATTCAGTTAGACTAAAAAAGGAAGCCAAAAATGTTGAATAAAGACTTATCAGTATACAATTAAAAACCTGGAGAAGGTGAAAATGAGAAGGGATCCCTGAAGGATTCCACTGAATTAGTGTTAACAAGACAAAATAAAATAATAAAACTCCTAAATTGCAGAAAAATCTCCAACAAGTAAAACTACAGCAGGCATAAAAATTGCACAGACAACACAAAATCTCACTTCAGGGATCAGCTTTCCAAATGCTACATATAGATTTCTAAAGTTTTTCAGTAATTCAGGAAATTATTTTTTAGAACTTCTTTAATACATGAAATTCTTCTCAATAATGGTCATGAACTCACCATCAGTGACCACAAACTGATGAAATGCACTAAGGGCTAGTGAAAGTCCCAGAAAAAAAACCTTCCCCAAATGAGAACAAGTGGAGTTAAACCACATATCTGTGTTTTGTCAGCTGTAAGCACAAAGTGAAGTTTGAAGCCAAAGGGCCCCAACAGAGGGAAAAGGATAACTTTGGTTTTCAGAAATACTGGATCAGAGAAGAAAATAAAAGTAATATAAAAACAGAAGAAGTAGAAAAAAGGAAAAAAAAAATAAAAATGTCAAAGAAGAAATCATCTGGGTCAGCAAAAAAAGGAACAATATGAAACTTCACAAACATTTCCCAGTGATTAGACAGTAAAGCCACTAAAAGACAGTGGAAGTAATTGTTCTCCACTTGGAAAGAATTAGAACAATGTATTTATATCATAGAAGAATGAGGTAATATTTTCCCTGCCAACAAAAGAATAAAGTTGAAAAACCTTTAAGAGGGCTAAACTCTTAAAACTTAAGCCAGAAGATTTGGATAACTTGCACCCAAGAGTCCTAAAGCATCTACTGGTCATACTTCATAAACAAATACCAGCACACTTTTAAGTCTTGTGCTGATGAGAAAGGCCTCCAAAGACTGAGGGACTTTTAATGTAGGGCCAATATTAAAAAATGCAAGAAAGGAGTGAGCAATTGTCAGCCAATGTGCCTCAGTAAAATAGGAGCTGACCCAGGTTTCTATTGATCATAGAAAACAATGTATTCTTATGGAAAAATGTTTCAAAGCAAAACTCATTTCTTCACAGCACTGAAATATCTTGGCTGAGAAAGTTTTTGAAACATACTCTGTTTTCTTATTCTTAGAATAATTTAATACAAAATTCTTTCTTGCCACAAAATTCGATAGAATTAATTTTGATCCATAATATGACTACAAAGATAAATTTTATAATAAATTCACGTATTTCTTGTTATTTTTAATATTTGAAATATATCTTTAGAAGGTTTTTGCCATGAAGGCATGACAAGATGAATGGTTTCTCAAAGAAGTCCTACTTGAATTCTCTTTTAAAGGATTAGAACAATAGACAGAATTAAATATGTAATTAGAAATTTAAAGGGCCTCTAATCCTGAGCAGCAGACAGTGGGAATAAAGAAATAGCTAAAAGTTAACTTGAAGTATTTTAACTGCTGAAAATCCGTGACAAGAAAATGTCCTGTTGGTTAGTGTTTCAAAAGTTACCCATCACACTAAAAAGAAACACAAGGCAAATGTATACACTGGAAAACCCTGCTTCTTAATAAAGAAGGGAACAAGGTTCATTTGGTGATGTGGGACTCACATCACTGCCTGACGTGTTTGACAGCACTCAAGCCAGAACAGCCTCTGCTGTATGTTTCAAAAGAATGCAGCAAATACCCCTTGTAATCTCTCCAGTGCTGCCTTCATGTGGGCTGTCAGTGTGTCAAAGACCTGTGGTATCTGAGTGCCCTGCTCTGACAACCTGTGCAGACACGACACTGAAGTCACCTTTGTCATCTTGATTCCTTCACACTGAAAAACGTTACCATCTTTTACCTGAAAACCACTTATGCCTCTGTGTAGAACCTGCAGCTTCAGTTAAAATCAAGATGGACAAATCTCTGTGGATTTTGTTTGCTATGTACAAGTACAAAGATACAAAAAGCTCGCAAGCTTCATATTTACAAGAAAAATAACAGAAGCAAAAGCATTGCAAAATAAAGAGAGCTACATGACTTAGCCACTGAGGGAGCAGAAAAAGTACTTTACCCTCAAACCATACAGTCTTGCCTACCAAAGGTGAAATGACAACACAGAAGTGTCCAAATGTATTTCACTTGGTAACAAACACACATTACTGTTATGACTTCTATTGTTGTCAGCATATAACAACATTATTATCAGTCTTGATGAACCTGGATTTTATTTTAATCACCTTAAATTTTCAACATTTCCTGTGTACTTACTCTATTAAGCATTGCTCTATTTCCAACTACTGCTTCTATATCAATAAAAGAGAGTAAGAAGTGCACATACCAAAATATGGAGGCCATGAAGGATTTTAGCTGCATACCTGACTGGTGCCTTAGTAGTCAGCCACTCTAGACTACACATTTAACAGTTTCTCAGCAGCTCAGAGATATTTTATGGTTTCCTAAAAGTACCAATCCTACAGTCTTACAACTATTTTACCATGTTTGGTCACTCCTACCTTACGCTTGAAAGGAACAACACAGCACTCACAACATGAAGATGGTTGCATGACACTCAACTTCCTGGCAAAATAATTTTTACAGCTCAGATCTCCAGCAGATCCATGGATGCGTTCAAAGAACATAACCCCAACCTATTTTTAACTCAGCCTGGTGTGCAGCAGAGCAGCTCTGTCTCCAGTCATCAGGGGGATGGAGGCCAAAAGACAAAGCCCAATGGATGGAGGGTGTGGAAGATCACTGACTGGGTATTTACTGGGATAATGAGTGAAGGACACCCCTCCTGCCTTTTCAAAACCAGGCCAAGTTCAAGAGGAACAACTTGCTGAGAAACACAGATTCAGACAAACTATATTTGATGAACAATCAATACCCAGCAGAGCTAATAGAGGCAGCTTTGATCCCTGCTAGAAAGATTGATGTAGCCTAACATTAACATAACCAGTTTGTACCTCAAAGGACTGAAAGGATTTGCTCAGATCAGTAACAGCATCTGTGCAATAAAGAGCAATACTGAATTGCTTGATCAGAAATATCATTCTTTAGAAGACAAATCTCAATCAGAAAGAAACTCCTTCCAGATTTTATTTCCAGTTCTATCTGAGACAGTTGCTCTATTTGAGATCCCTTCATTTACTGTAAGGCAATACTATCTGAGATCCCCTTTTCTGCTGTAAGGAATGCTATCTGAAATGAAGTTTATGAGAAAAGAGAAGACAATAGTGTGTACTACAACTTCCTGACGCAGGGCAATTAACAAATCTTTAGCTGTTCAATTTCAAATAGAGCAAGAAAAATAAAAACTTCCCCAAACACTGAAATAGAGGAAGGCTAGAGCATGTACAAGTCAAAGAGCCACCTGAAGAGGTGCCTTTATTCCCCAGTATAGACAAGGTTGAGAGAGTCCCGACATCAAATGGAAGTTGCTCAGTGTACATACTTATGTAGGTCACTCAGGACCTATTTAGGTCACCTTCTTTGCAGATTTAAGCAAGTAATTTGCTCTTTCAAAGGAAGTAGCTGCTTTAGTCCCACACTTGCAGATTAACACTACAAAGAAGTCTCTAGTGCCAAAGGCAACACATGCTACATACACGAATAATCTGAAAAGAAGGGTGGAAGGACATCTTAAAACCTAACAGATCCAAGAAATCAGAACTTATCTACATGGAACAGAACAGACATCCAGGCAGATAAATCAGAAATTCTGACAATTTCAATTTAGGAATAAGTAAAGCGCCTTGTTCCTGCTGTTAGAATTTGACATTCATTGCCATGAAGCACACAAGCCTTACAGAATAGGAAAGATCACATTTTTCACTGAAAATAAAAGAAGCTGATGTTCAGTAATCAGGACAACTTCTAAGAGAAAGTGGTCTTGTTCCCTATCCCTGGCAGTTCCTATCAAGGCCAGGCTGGATAGGGCTCTGGATAGGGCTAGTGGAATGTGTCCCTGCCCATCACAGGGGTGTTGGAACAAGAATATCTTTAAGATCCCTTCCAATCCAAGCCTTTCTATAATTCTATGATTCTGCAGTAATACTTGCAGCAGAAGAGCTAGACTGAACTAAAATAGGTTTCTTCACAACTTCCAGGCACTGATGAATGCATCTTGATGTCATGACCTGAAGGGAGGAGGAGGCAAAAAGTCCAAATCTTGTTGCCATCTGTTTCCCTAAATTAAAGGGAAGAAAAAACCCACGCATATGCAGACCATATTTAGGAGTCTGCAAATTCAATGTATCTAGAGCTGACAAATTACAGACATCAATAACCAGTGGGCAAATAAGCAGTTGTGAAACTATCCATTGTGGAAGAAAAAAGGAGCAAGTATTTTGGTCATGTTATCTCCCAGAAGATGTTAGAAATACAGAGATAAGGGATAAAATGCAAGGAAGTACTATCAGCAACATAAGTTACATTGCTGCTGCCCTGCTTATCCAGATTCTAATCATAGGAAGATTAAAAAAAAATTACGAAGTAGTTTATCAACAGTATAATGGCTTTTCTTCTGATTAAGCCTTTTTGCTGCAGTTCTTCAGTGGGAAAGACTCAGAGAATGAAAGTGAGCTATTACAATATTTTTTTTTTGTAGGCACATATTTAGAAGTGTCCTCATGCTGGGTGGTGCCAGGCAATCCTGGAATTTTTCTTAAATGTAATTACCTTATATAAGCCACGTATGCCCTCTGTCTTGTATATCTTGATAAGAGCATCAAACATTCCCCTGTATTGCCGCTTGGATGGATCCACGCCAGCGTTATATTGCAGCACAAGTCGAGTCTTGGTTACCCATATTGGGTTTGTAATGCAGAGAGTCATGGCTCCTGAGAACAGACAGATATTACACTCATTGTTATGCCAAGTCCACAGATTGTCCCAGTTTGTTCAGTCCAAAATAACACAGCCTTCTACAATAACAAAACTCCTTTTCCTACCAGAGTACTCATATTGTTTAAAACAGGTGAAGTTTATGCTCTCCACTGCTCCCTCTCTCTCCCTTCAAAGCTCTTTCAATTGGAACAAGCCCAGTTCACTCCTGCTGGGGGTACTTTCACCAGGCACATGTATTTTTGCATATTCCTAGCACAGCCCCTTTTTTGCTTCACCTTCCCACAGTTAGTAGTATAATCTGAAGTAGACAGGAAACATAATTTCTTAAAGTACCACTGATTATCTGAGTTATTCTTCAGTATACAATAATTCAAAATTTAATGGACATCTCAGTGATGAAAAAATTGGTTAATAATATTGACAGCTTAATAGCAACAATTTGTTATAGCTTTATAGGTTATTGAAAATACCACTGTAGCAGAATCCATTACTATATTTCATGTCAAATAATATGCCTTATATTTCAACATTAAATAAATGCTTCAAAATCCTAATAAAGTCTTCCAAATTGCCTCTACAGCATATAGTGACAGGGCAAGGGGGAATGACTCAAATTGAAAGGGAGTAGGTTTAAATCAGATATGAGGCGGAAATTCTTTACTGTGATGGTGATGAAGCACTGAAACAGGTTGCCCAGATAAGTTACAGATGCCCCATCTCTGGAAGTGTTCAAGGCCAGGCTGGATAGGGCTTTGAGCAAACTGGCCTAGTGGGAAGTGTCCCAGCCAACGACAGGGGGTTGGAACTAGATTATTTTTAAGGTCCCTTCCAACTCAAACTATTCCATGACTCAATAGGCTGCCTCCTTTCCAGGTCCAAGTGTTAAACATTTAACAAGTTAACAACCTGACAGCAGCAGATTTCTACAGCCACATTTTGGGACCCAATACAGTACTAAATATGGGAAGTGCTTATACAGAATGAAAACAAGGACAAAAGACATTTTGACAACCACTAATTCTGCGGAAAACCAAAGGACCACAGTGACCCATCTGTTTGTGCTAGACATCTTTGTTTTATTTACAGACAACAAACCACTGCATTTTGGCTGGAACACTTACACTTGCCACCTGCAACAAAAAGAAGCAGTGACAGAAAAAGGCAGGTAGCAGCACTTGGAAAAGCTACAAGTGAACATTAATTGATCTTTGCATATAACCTCACCAGCCTCTGCAGCTGACACCAGGTGTTCGCTTGCGCTGAGACTTTCCATCTTCCCTTCCTTCTTGTAAGCTTTGATGGCATTGTAACTGGAAAATGTACAACATAATTTAGTAAAGGTGAAAACAGACCTACACCACAAAAAACCCAAGTCCAGAATGGCATACCTGACTTAAGATCATGGTCATACAGAGCCTTTGAAGAAAAGGTATCCAAACCACCTTTGTTTTATTGATTAATTGATCTCTGAGCTGTTAGCTCTTTAAAGTGAACTATGGTAATAAATATTTCAATTGTATAATTAAACTGTCTGTATCAATGGGACTGCATCTTGAAAATTATCAGATATCAAAAATTAAGTTCTAAAAGAAGTCTGCTGGGAGCCACAGTGCTAGGTATTTACCCTCTGGCTCAGAAATACATCGAGCTTTCTTATCTTGATCCAGTTTGCAATCTTTGTGAATTAAGAAATTGTCAACAGAAGATGAAGTCTCAATAGCAATCTATAGCAAAACTTAAGGACTGAAGTACAACAATAACAGAGTCTAGACAACTGGCAAGCGAGCTTTGCAGAGGCATGCCACCTAACTAGTCCCTAAGATATTTCAATAGGGGTATAGATGTTTTAATAGGGGTAAGTAGTAAATCAGGTCACAGTAACAGAGTTAATAAAGTAGAATATTAAAAAACGGGCTTTAAAACCAAAGCACATCAACTGACAAAAACAATGAAAAAACTGCCACTAAAATTATTAAAAACAATCAAACATTCAGCTTTAGTGGAAAACCTCACGTTCTTTATTTTTTTAGGAAATCAATTTAGATTCTTGCTTTTCATGAGGTTTTAAAAACAGTGTATTGGCACTTCAAGAGAATTCTTTATGAATAGTATCACCACCTCTCAAATTCCTTAGTATTTTCACATCATCAAGGGAATGCCCTGTACCTGACAGGAACAGGTCTCTGACTCAAATTGCTTAAATTCTAAAACAGCAAACCATAATAAACATTAACAGACCTGGACTAGCTAAGAGAACGACAAGCTTGTAACTCACTTAGCATGTTTTTATACCTCACAAAGAAGAAGCAATGTATATCTGAACACTATGTTGTGCAGGGTGTGACACATTTTATAGTTCTACTTACAAGAAAAAGTAAAGTCCCCAGGAAGCCCCTGCTCCCACCATGTTTGGAGTTACCCCTTGATACAAGCCTCGTAGTCCTTCATGCTTCCAGACAGTGCTCATACAGTGGAGAATCCCGTTGTACTTTGGCCTCAGCTCCAAACCATCGCTTACTACGAAAGAAAGAAATTATACTGAGAGACATTTCAGGAAGCATAAAGTTCAACTGCATCCAAGCCAACAAAGAAGTCCACAGCCCCTAAAGCATAAATTCAATACATTCAATAAATGAACACAAAACCAAACTGATCAACCATACTACAAGAGTATTATTTCACAAGTATGCAAGAGTTGGATTTAAAGTATAAACTTTATAGCTTTATAAGCCTACAGTTCAAGAACTTAGGGAAAAAAAGGGGAGAAAAAGAAACAAAAAAAGGAGGTAACTCCTTAGCTCAGCAAGTGGAAAGTTCCTATTCATCTGACAAAGCTAAATAAATGTACTTCTGTTCATTTTTGATGAGCAGCAGATTTGAAGTTTTCTGTCTCTTCTTTTTAGCACTCCAGCAATTTTGCATCTTATTTCAAGTGATATGGATGGGATCCTTGACCTGTTTCTCTACGTTGTTTAGATAAGTCCCAAGTAATAACCGTTACATTCAAATTTTCTCTTTAAAATGTTCTATCAAGCAATGGGTCATGTCTTACTGATTCCCAAGTCAGTTTTTACCACAATACTCAAATGTTTCTTTTCCCATGTAATAACCTAACAGATGGTTGTCAAAATATTCAGAAAATGTCACTTCAAAAATACAGAAAGCACACAAGTTTTTGTCTGACAGATCATGCAGAACTTGGATGGCCACAAAACTTGGAGTGGAAACTACTGCTGCTCCTACTGTAACAGCAAGGGAGTAAGTTGATTACTGATGACACATGTGATACGGTCCATGGTGAGATGACAAGAGGTAACAGACACAAGCTGAAACACAGGGAATTCTGACCAGAACTTTTTATCCAGCAGAGTGGCCAAATACTTGAACAAGTTGCCTAAAGAGCATCTTTGAAGCTACTCAAAACTCCAGTACACAAGACTGAACAAACAGATCTAAGCAGAGCTTATCTGAGTAGGGGGTGAATTCCTCAGCTCTCTTCTGACCTAAATTACTCTATGATGCCAACATAGCAGCAGCTTTCATTGTCAATACAGATGTATGGCTAGACTGCAGCTGTACTGAAAACTGGTCTCAAAGTTTTACAAGAAATGTCGCTTTTGTGTCCCCATCAAAATTAGTCCTGGTAAATATGCATTTTCTGCTCAGTGCCACATTTATTATTCAATCCTCTTGAACTTTGTGTCCGGTACTGCACATTGTGACAGAGTTCAGCATTAAAGACAAAATACTTTTGATGAGCACTGTGTGACAAGGCCTGAACACCTTGACAGCCACCCAAAACAAGAACACAAACATCTCTTTTCTCCTTCCTGAGTAAGTGTTGCTAGACCTTTCCCAAAGAGACATTTATGTATTTTTTTTACCATGCAGACACTAGATTAAGTTTATAAACATATTAAGCAACATGGGAAATCAGAGACACGAATACAAGTCTTTCTGTCAATGATGCTACCAAGAATCTTCACAATATTAATTTCTGGTATCAGCTCCTGCTCCCTGGTTGAAGACAAAACATAGGAATTGTTATTTTCAACCCAAAGAAGCATGTGAAAGCACGTGACCTCCAAAAGCCACCTAATCCAAACCTGTACTCACACTGGATCTAATTAGATCTGGTTACTTAGGGACATGACCAGTTAGTTGACTCCTGAATGTTTCCATGGCTGAAGAGATTACAGCCTCGCTGGGTAACCTTTTCCAGTAATTGACTATTCTTACAGTAAAATAACTGGAATTTTCCATGTTCACTCTTGTGCCTGCTCCTTTTCGGCTTACTAACTACCCCCAAGAAGAATCTGGCTTTACCTTCCCTGTGTCTTCCAATAACATTGTCACAGACTGCAATTTCAGCTTCCCTCAGCCCTTCCTTTCTGAGGCCAAACTGTTCTGTGCCAGTGCTCCAGTCCTGGTGGTCTCCACTGCAATCACACCAGTGTGTCACTGCCCTCCTTGTCCTGGAGAGCCCCAAAACAGACACAGTACTTCTGACCTAGCCTTACAAATAGAAAACAGAGAGAAAAGAGCCCTTCTATTGGCTATGCTCTTCGTAATGCAGCCCAGGATGTGCCCAAGTAGGACATGCCATATATTAAATTTTGTGAAATGTCTCTGTGATACTTTGGTTTCGAAACATCTATGATGTATCTGTTTAAGAAAACAATCCAAAGATACAGATGTTTCAACCTCTCTGAAAGAGAATAAGATAAATGGTGGACAAGTTTATCAAATTAGCAGAAAAGTCAAGAGAAGTCGTCATGGTTCTCTGTGGAGAAACAAACTAGTTAAGAGTTTTCTGCAAAACAATACCACTATTGCTAACAACTAAGGTTATTCCAAAACTACCGCCACACTTTGAGAGTTGAAAATCTTTGGCATAAAGGTGAACTTTGAACGTGGGCTTGGGACAATCCGCCTGATAAAAGCAGACAGTGCTCGTCCGGTGTCCTCTGGCACTGGTGGTCATGGAAAGGGGAGAAGAGGCTGGCCAGCTCTAATCTGCCTGGAAACAGCTCGAGGCACACCGCACATTTTACAGTCCCTACAAGTGACAAGGAGAAGCTCTGGGATAGCAGGGAAGAGAACCGGAGACCGTCCCTTTCGGCTTACGGCCGGTTTATTCCAAGCCGTGGGGCTGCCCCGCCGGCGCCGCGCACGGGGCGGGCAGAACGGCGCGGGCTTTGGGC